GTATCTCTTTGCATTACTTTTAAGTAGCTGTTCTAGGAATCGTAATATACGTCTTCACCTTTTCAGTCTGTTTAGGATTAATATCACACTGCTCCATTAACAGGCAGAAAACTTGAAACCGTAGAAGTCCTCTTTTGGCGTATTTAATACTATCATCGTCATACATATTACCTCTACATTTATGATAAACTCTCTAAGAGAACATAATTTTTGCATTCAACAGCCCTGTTTCTTTTTTTTAAATTAAGAGAGAAAAGTACTCCTTCATACCAGCCGGAGAGTCACCATTTCCGACGTTCTTCATTTCTTCCTAAATACCCAGGTTCCAGTCTGCTGTCATTTCCCATCACCTTGAGGAAATTCCTTTGGCATTTTTGGTAGTGTGGGTCTGCTGGTTGAAAAATTCCTTGGTTTTCTCTTACCTAAAAATTGTTTATATTTAAGCTTCACTCTCGAAGGACATCTTTATCGGATGAGTTCTGTTCTGACTCTTCTCCACTCCTTTGGGCACTTGATCGTTTCTTTATCGTGTTCCAACAAGGCGCTCTCCCACTGTCTTTGGCATTCATAGTTTCCGCTGACAGGTCAGCTGCTTTCCATCGTTGCTGTGCAGTGTTTCGTTTTCTGTGGATGCTTTCCGGGTTTTCTCTTTATCTTTGGTTTCTGGAAGTTTCACAATAGTATGCGTAGGTGTAGTTTTCTTTGTTTTTTATTTACCTTGGGTTTTGCTGAGATGATCGAATCTTAAAATGTGTCTTTCACCAAACTGGGGATATTTTTGGCCATTCGTTTTCAAAATGTGCGCCTTATTCTCTCTCTCTCCTCGGAAGCTCCGACTACATGTATGTAAGATAATTGGGTATTTTCCCGCATGTCCCCGAAGCTTTCATATTTTTTCAATATTTTTATTATTTGTTCTTCAGATTGAGTCATTTCTATTGGTCTAGATTCAAGGTCACTGACTCTTCCCTGTCATCTCCATTCTCCTATTAAATACAACTGGTGCTTTGTTTTCGTATTTTTAAAATTCAGATATTGTATTTTGCTTTTCTAGAATTTCCTTTTTATGATTTTCATTTTTACTAGAGTTTCTATCTTTTCAATTACTATAAACATATTTTTCTTTATATACTTGAGGATGCACACAATAGCTACTTTAACATCCTTGACTACTGCTGCTTCCAACATCTGCATCATTTTAAGGCTGGTCTCTGTGGACTAATTTAGAGTGGGTTACATTTTCCTGCTTCTTTGTAGGATGAATAATTTTTCTTGTAGCCTGGACATTGTGAATATTACGTTGTAGAGACCTTGGGCTCTGTCATATTCCTCTGAAGAGTGTTGGTTTTTGTTTGCATGCTTTAGCAGGCATTGAACTTGGATGGTCTCAAATCGCAAACTCTATCAGTTAGTAGCTCCAACTTCAGCTCAGTTCTTTTATGCACAGCTGGTGTCTCTGTACATGTGTGGCTCAGGGATCACACATGTGAGCAGAGCTCGCGCACAAAATTTAGGCTCTCCCTCTCTGCCTTCTACTGTCTGGGATTCTCTACTCCCTTTCTAGTGATCGTGGTTGTCCCAAACTCTGTCCTCTGTTCTTTGAGTTAAAATGATTGTGATTTTCTCCTGGAGATACAGCCACTCTAACAGAAGTGCCAGCTTTGGCCCAGCTCAAGCTAAAAGCCACAGAATGGAAGCTCGTCCTGTGCCATTCATTTTTCAAGTATTATCTTCCTTCCAGAACCCGTCCTTGATCATTCGCTAGTGCCCTGATTTATTTTTGTTCTTTTATATTTTTTCCAGAGCTCATGGACGTTGTCTGTGGAAAGGTTACATCCCGTAGGAGTTATGCTGGATGTTGTACTTACATGAAACATTACAGAAACAATGAAAGACCTTTTTGTTCCTCCCTTCTATGATTTGGTATGTCACCTTCCTAGTCACTTTTTGAAAATTCATTTTCTATGTATATTGTTCTAAAAGTATAATATCGTTCAATTCATAATCTATAGATAGGATTGGGGAGTTTTCTAATTTCATACAAGTGAGAGCACACTGTATTTTTCATTCTGCAACTTTTTTCGCCCTCAACGTAATATTTGGAGATCTATCCATATTGAAACAAACAGATCCGGCTTACTCATTTTGATGTAGGAAACTATACAATCATATGCCTCTGACTCCAATTCACCTGCGTGTCCTCCCGTGAATGGACATGTAGGCCACCTCTGATTATTTACCCTGCCCATGACGCAGTCATACTCTTGCACCTGCCTTTCTGGCTGTCTACCTAGGCATGCCATCGCTGGATGGGCTTTAACTGCACCAGCTTGCTAAACTGCTCTTCCAAGTGCTTGTAGCAACTTACATCTTACCAACAGTATACGAGAGTCCATCCCTCGGAGTATTAACAGCGGTTATCCATGGGTGGTAAAATTCCAAGTGATTTTCGCTGTTTTTTTACACTTTCTGTCATTGAATTCCGCTCTACACCCCGCCCCCCCACAAGCAGTTATTGTTCTTATAACGAAATAGTAAAGATTTCTGCTCTCAAACCAACAGAACTTGCCCTTCCTCTTCCATCCGCGCCCCGTCTCGGGGACGATCGCCCCCCTCAGATGCCGGTGACCATCTCCTGTGTCTCCTGACTCCGTCTCTGCACCTGCCTGCACGCTGCGCATACCACGTCAGCTCTAAAAACACTTATTTTGTGCACGTCTTTGCTTGTTTTCCGCCTGTTTTGCAACCCCTTGTGGGCAGGAAGTATACGCTACTCACCTCTATAACCGTGAGACTGACATTGCCTGGCACGAAGCAGGTGCTTTAAAGCCCATGGAACTGCAAAGCGGACACTGTCTTCCCCATTATACAAAAGGAAAAAAGTTAGAAGAAGTCACCCCAGTCTCACACCCAGAGTGGAACAGAAACCCACGCTGAGCCTTCCAACTTTAACGTCCCCTGCCAGGTGAAGTGACTTAACTAGGGTTGCACAGCTGTGAATCTGAGCTGGTACCAGACGTGGGGGCGCCCAGTCCTTGCTCCCCCGGTGACAGCAGCCCAGCTCTCTCCGGGGCAGACCGACCTCTCTCGTTCTGGGCAAAATGTAATAATTCATTGTGGACATCAGCTACAAGTTCTAGGCAGCCTGCCTACTCTCCGGAGTCACTTAAAATCACGGTCATTGCCGCAAAAGTGACTATTTGGACCATTTATTCTGCACGTCCTGTCAACAGGGACACCCTGGAGTCCTCACTTCAGCCTCGCATTTCATCGTTTGAAGCTGGAATGCGCCGCGTGTGCTTCCCAGACATTATCGCTGTAATCACTTTCTGTTGCTGTGGAAATGATCGGGAAATTGTGCTTTGATACATGGGAAGCGTGATGAGGCCACGCCACGCCGAAGCTGGGATTCCACAGGAGCCGTTCCAGAAAGGGACACTGCTCTCAAAGCAGCCACGGAAGAACGTCTCGGGGCCACCTCTTGGTGTCAGGAAATCCGAGACGTACATTTCACCATCGCGAACTCACACCGCAGACCTTTCTGCACGATGCGTGAGACTCGATGCGATGCCGTCCATTCCGGGGTTCTCAGTGGCGTGCGCTTCAGCGAGCCATCGGTTTTAGTTCAGATTTTTTTTTTTTCCTGTGATGAAACGGTAAGGCCGTTTTAGCGCTGTCCTGAATTGTGTGAGTACAGGACACAGTCCTAGGGGTGCGGGTGCAGATGTGAGGAAGCTTTTCCAGAGGCTGCAGCCAGGGGACAGGCCTGGGCTTTGCCTCAGGCTCCAGACTGAGCCCCTTTTGGGGAGCCCTGATGGCTCCCAGGATGCCCAGGGCTCGGGGCGGAGCCCAGAGCAGTGAGGGCGCCGGCTGCAGCCGTCTGGCTCGGTGAGGCTGGCAGGGGGCGAGCCGGGGCTGGAGCCTCTCAAGTCTGTGAGCTCCAGGGCACTTGCAAACCACTGCCCTCTGCTGAGGGCAACTGCAGCTGCTGAGCAGCGCCCAGTGGGCGGCCATCTGGGGGGACCAAACCTGCTTTAAATCGAAAGATCTAGATGGTTCCGGTCCAACCAGGAAACGCCAAAATGCCCAACGCGGCACCCACGCTGGGTGCTGGACTGTGCTCAGGCCCAGGGACGTTCCCCTCTCTCGGACGTGTGGTGCTGGGACGTGCAGTGCAGCCGATTCAGCCGAGGCCTCGTGGTTTCTGAGTGGCGTCCTCAGAGCTGGCGGAGCATGCGCGGTGAATGCCCCACTGCACAGATGTGGGGGGAGGGGCCGAGGCCCAGATCCCTCCCTTTGGCTCCCACAGCTCCGTGAAGATGGGAGAACATAGGCCGCACAGGCTGCACCCCGGCTCTGCCCCTTACTGCCTGTGTGAGCTTGAGTAAGGCCCTGGGGACCTCTCCGGTCCCCAGGTCGGCATTTGTAGGCCCACCTGCCTGGGGTGGGAGAGAAACTTCCTTAGGAGGTTTAGTACTCTCGCCTCTCTTCCCACCCTCGACCCCTTCCCTTAGGAAGAGCAGGAGCTGACCTCTGACCTGTCCGTGGGACACGTGATCCAGCGTGCACCTTCCCAGGTGGTGACCGGGTGGTGACTTGTGAGCAAACGCCCTTGGCCACAGATCTAAGGCAGGTCTCCAGCCAGCTCTGCCTGTGGGATGCCTGAGTCTGCCTCACCCTTAGTGTTCTGAGCTCAGGCAGGGAAGAGGGGTGTCACTTATGCCCCCTCAATCCCCAACCAAGCCCCAACCAAGAATACCTCCCCAGCTGGGCTGCTGCGAAGCTTCAGAGGCAGTGGGGAAGGTCTTTCTGCACCCAGCACACTGCAGGGACCTGGCAGAGGGTGGCAGCAGTCTCTGGGCCGGCCTGTGGCCCTCCACCACCCATGTCATCATCCTCTGACCCCTGCAGGAGAGACCCGCCTGGGCCCCAACCCACCCACCCTGAGGACGCCGAGCTGCCCTCACGCAGGAAGAAGGATTCCTTGGGCAGGTCTCCTGTCCCAGCTCCATCTCCTCTGCTCCGAAACTTTAATCGGATCGGTGTCATTACTCGTCCTGCGGCCCTCGGGAGGGCCGATGGCTCTACCAGCCTAATCTTCCATCTTACCTGCAGCCACCCCCTTTGCCAAATAACTTCGCAGAGCCCGCCCATGGTGACCCTGGCCTTGGCCACGAGACTGGCTTTGGCCACCAGGGCGGGAGCATATAAGACAGCAACCAAAGCTAAGAAGCCACCTGCACTGGTGCCTGCTCCCGGCCCGCATCGCGGGGCCACGCCCGTCCGGCCCCTCAGAGCGAAATGCGACACTCGCGGGCGAGCTGTCTCCCCAGCAGCCCCGACGAGACCAGAACCGCCCAGCCGACCCACTGGCTGGCGAGCTAGAACAAACAGCTGCATCACGGCAGCAAGAGATGCCGAACACGAGGGCCCAGCCCATAAATTCCCATTGTCAGTTAAGCCTCATCGGGTTCAAACAGATTCAAACACATCCATCGTCTTATCCCAGCCCACAGCTCAGGAACAACGGGCAAGGGCCAAAGACCCAGGACCACAGAACTGTCACCGGCAGGGTCCCTGGAAGTTCATTTAATGGCCAGCTTACGCGCACACAGACGGAGACCTCAGCGTGACATTTCCAGCTCTCGCGGAGTCTCCCGGCCCGGGCTGGGGGACGGAGGCACGGTAGGCACAGCGAGGCCTCCGGCCGAGGGGCCGCTCTGCTCTCCCGGCCCGGCCAAGCCGGCGCCCAGCTCCCCACGGGCGTCCTGGGTGCTGAAGACCTTCCCGTGGTGCTCGATCAGCAGCTCGGTGAACAGGTGCAGCGGCACGAGGGAGCTCAGGGAAGCCGCCCCCTGGGACGGCCAGATTAAGTTCGGCCCAAAGACGCAGGCCAGGCTGGAGCTGTTCATTCTGTTAAAAATGCTCTCCCGGGACACCTGGGGGACACACGCGAGACAAGGGGAGTGACCTGCGGGTCCACGCTGGGCTGGGAGCCACCTGTGCTGCCGCCTCCCTGCACTGGGCCTCAGTTTCCCGGCTCTGCCCTTCTCCTTCTGGGAACCCTCAGCACCCCCCAGAGTCCGCTTCCGCTCCGGAGGACCCAGGCCCCGTGGGGCAGGGGTGGGCTCTAGCACAGCAGACATGAGCTTGGCCTCTGGCGTCACCCAGCCAGATGACTCAGGGACACGGCCCCTCTCTCCAGGACTCGCCTAGCTCAGAAGACAACGTGGGAGCAGAGGCCCCAATCAAGAAGGTCACGGGCAATAACAAAGGACAGCCAGGGGCGGGAGTGGCAGGGGTGGGCACGGTCGCCCCTGCCCGGCGGCACCGAGGGCTTCTCAGTGGAGTCGCTGTCCGTCAGGCCTTGGACAAGGTCCTTGGGGACCAGAGAGTGGCGTTCCCAGGCTGAGGGAGGGTGGGACCCCAGACCCTGGCCTGCGTGGGCATGGACATGGGCGAGCCCCCCCCGGGCGCCCTGCTTTATCCACTCACCTCGTGCAGGAAGCCCACGAGGTAGCCAAGGACGGCACGATGGTGTTCCGGAAGGCCCTGCAGGATCTGGCGGCAGTAGGCCACCCGCAGGCTGCTCTCCACACCTGCGATGGCACGAGGGTCCCTCCTGAGCCCTTCCCAAGCAGCGGGCAAGGGCGTAGGGAGGACAGATGGTCCCGCTGTGGGACCCAGAGCTCCCACTTACTCCTGGCCGTGGGGTGTTCTCAGCAACACCCCCTTCTGTGAGTGAGGCTCCCTTCTCCACGCCCTGTAGCCCCTCCCTCGGCAAACGACAGCCAGGGGGCCAAATGGCCTGTTTCTGTCAATAAAGCTTTATTGGCGCAGAGTCACGCCCATCCACTCACATTTTACCCGTGGCTGCTTTTGCATTAACGGCAGAGTTGAGTCTGGCCCACGAAGCCTAAAACATTTACCATCGAGCCCTTTACAGAAGAAGCGTAGAGACTAACTTAACGCTTCTCAGCGTTTGATTCTCAGCAGCTCAGGTCCCCATGCCCACTGAGGGCCCGAATGTAGCTGTGCCAGGCTCTGAGATCCCCTGTTCCCTCATAACTACACCCCCGCCGAGCTCTGTAGATCCCAAGTCTAAACGCAACGATCAACAAGCATCCCCCAAGTGTCCCCCGCAGAGGCACATGCACACGTGCACGCGTGCACACACACTCACACCACAGTCCTCCGGCGTGCTAACCCGTCCCCCGCCCCAAGCCTGGCACAGGGTGTGAACACGCTGTGCTCTGTAAACACAGCCACTGCTGAAAGACACAAAATGCCCTACTGTGAATGTTCTTGCTGGCTTTTTAATAAAAACCGTTCACTAACTCAAGCTGTTGGGTAATTTGAACGGACAAGAAGTTCCCGTGAAACGAATATTTGAATATTTCCAAGGAACCAACGAGCTCGGGGTCCGCCTTGTCCTAGATCTCGGCTTTCTCGCCTCACCCCATCTTTCTAAGAATTATGGTCCCAGAGCTGATCCTGGTGCAGGGTCCACCCCCATACCCACCAGGGTCCCTTTAAGAAAAAGCACTCGTTGGTGACTTGGAGGGACCAGCTCACTGTCAGTCACAAAGCCACCGCGTACAGAGCACTGACTCTGCCAGGAGCCACGCCCCACACGCCCTTGGCCACCTTGCCACCCGGCCCGCACCTCGGTGGCTGACAACCCAACCCTGCCATGGACACTGGTGGCCTGGCTGAGGCCGGCAGGGGTCCAGGAGGGGGCAGCCCCTCTCCTGGCCTGCAGTGCCATATAGCAGCAGGAGGCCAGCAGCCCCGCCCCGCCAGCCTGGCCCTTGGCTGGTACTTACTGGTGATCCCGAGGACTTGCTCATAGGCCTTGAAGGTCAGCAGCGGCTGGGGCAGCTCCCGCAGGAAGGTCTTCAGGATCGTGGCAGGGACCTGGATGTCCCCATAGTCGTCAAAGTTGACGGGCTTCCCTGGACACAAAGCACCGGATGCCTGAGAGGCGACCCTGGGCTGGGATTCCTGCTTCCACACGGGCCCTGGTGCCTGATGGCCTTAAACCGCCCAAGGGGAAGAGCCTCGGGCTGCGGCCACACGTCTGGGGGTGACTGCCTCTCCCGGAAACAGGGGTGCTGTCGCCCACCCTCCGCTCTCCAGGGCGCCTGGCGAGGCTGGTGAGTGCTACTGAGCTCCCGCCTAGGATCCAGTGCTCTGAGGTCAGCGCCCCAGCTGTCACCGTCCCCAGTGCCCAGCACATGGGGCTGAGAAGGGCCAGCCCACAGCGTCCAGTGCCGCCCGTCACTTGATGAGTGAACCATGACCGTGGGAAGGACAAGAGCGTGTGCAGTAGAGGGGACGCCTTGTAGTGAGCTGACTGCTTTGCCAGCGTCACTGTGGCAGGCTCAGCTCTGACACCGGGTCCCCCTGCCTGCGGGTTGAACACGGGCAGCTGAGGCAGCCGAACACGGGCGCCGAGCCGGCCAGGGGAGCTGCCTGATGGAGACCCCACGAAACAACTGCCTACGCTTCCAACCACCTGTCTGCCAGACTCGAGTGTGTCTAAGAAACCCTGAGGGCAGGATGGCATCGAGCAGCCACCAGCCCCGGGAGGCTGGGGGTCTGGGCACAGGACCACCTGGGGAGGAGGGGGACGGGAGAGTTCTGCTGCCTCGGGTGTCCGGGCTCCGAGGCCCTGGAGGGCTGTGTGGCTGGCCGGGAGGGAGGCTCAGGTGAGGGGCCGGCGGGAGCCGACTCACCCTGGTTGTACAGCCGCTGGATCTCGCTGACGGTCTGGACACTGGCTGATCTTCGGAAGAGGCCCTCCGAGCGGAGCCCTGCAGGGAAGGAGCCCCGAGTGTCCCACAGTGTCCCACAGCACCTCGGGATTCTCAGGCATTCTATGACCCCCCCCACCCGTGCATCGCCCGTCTGTGGCTGGCAGAGAACTCCCTCCGATCCGGCTCATTTGTCCCCTCACTATCCACTGCCACCACCTTTACTCATTCCTCTCAATTTAAACTTTCCCACATTCCTCAGTCCCCCCGATGGCTCACCTGTGTGGCCCCCAGGGGGGGAGACTGGGAAGAGACTGACACTAAGTCAGACGCACTGGGATCCAGGCCAACTCTGCCCTGCCCAGCTGTGTGACCTTGGAGGACATACTTAGCCTCTCTGAGCTCGGCTGCCCTGTCTGCGGAGTAAGGCCTGGAGCCCCGGCCTCCGATGGCTGCAGTGAGGGTGGATGGGATAATGCATAGCACGTGCCAGGCACGTAGGACGCCTCCAAGCGGGCTGCTTCCCTTTCCTTCCACGAATGTCTAGAGCTGACCTGTCCGATATGGCACCCTCAGGGTGATTTACAGTTAATTAAAATAAAATTAAAAATCTAGTCACCCAACGCACAAGCCACGTGTTAAGTGCTCTGTTGAGCTATTGCCACAGAGGGCTAGAGGCTTCCATTTTGGATGGCGCGGATATAGAACACCTCCAAGTCCCGTGGGCGCCCATGCCCTCCCTCCCCCTCTCCCAATCTCTCCCCATTCTGAAGCTGAATGAATTCGACACACAAATCTAACTCTGATCAGCTCCCGTGGGGAGCCCTTTCCTGTCCTCATCGACCACAGGACGGCTGCCCTGGGCCCTCACCACGGACCCACGCTGTCCGGCCACCACGGCGTCACTCTCCTGCCCCGCTGCCACCGTCGGCCTCCAGCCATGCTCCTTCTTCCCTCAGCCTTTCCACGCGCTCTCGCCCTCCGCCTGGGGGACCGGTCCCTCTCTGCTTCTGCTGAGTGACTGTAGCAGGCAGAATTCTGAGATGGCCCCCAGATTCCTGGACCCTGGGGTACACACACCTTCTCCTAAGTAGCCAGTCAAACACTCATCTAGGTGCCGCAGTGAAGGAACTTTGCAGGTGGAAGTCAGGTCCAAGGCAGCTGACCTTAAAATAGGGAGATGATCTTGGGTGGGCCTCGCCTAATCAGGTGAGCTTTTAAAAACGGACCAGATTCCTCCCCGCAGGAGGAAGCTGGAGCATGGAAGCAGGAGTTCAACACCTGGAAAGGTCTCTATTGATAGAGGGGGTCATGTGGGACAGAGAGGCCTGTGGCTAACAGCCAACCAGGAAACAGGCAGCTCAGGACTACAAGGGTGAAGAACTGGATTCGGTTCCCCTGACCCCTAGGACCAGCTCGTCCCTGCCGGGCGAGTCCGTGGTTGTCCCACTGCATCTAGACTAAGGAAAACGTACCGGCGACCCGCCGGGAGCCCGGGAGGTCAGGCCATGTGCTGCGGCCAGTGTGGCAAGCCCAGTGCCCGGACCAGGGGGTGTCCAGCGAGCATGTGTTTAATGCACATATTCATTCGACAAAGATATACTGAGCTCCCACTTGGGCTGTTTTTCCTTTTTCTTTCTTTTAAGTATGAATAAAGGAATTGATACATTATAACGAGAGACTCCCTTCCGCATGTTCTGACTTAGGTCTTAGGCGCTATCTTTTGTCCCTTCCTGAAACATGTAACAGAAAGGCAAGTGTGACAAATGACATCTGGTCCAAGTAGAGACAACTCCAAATGACAATCAGATCCTCCGGCTACACAGACACTGTCTCACTGAGCTTATAAGATTAGAACATGCAGTTCCTGGGGCACAGTGGGTGACAGACACCAGGGCCCCCAGCAGTGATGTATACACCCCCCGATTCCTACTTCCTGTCTGATGAATATACCCCGTGGCTCTGTAGCACCTGCCCCTGGCTCCGGCAGGTGGCCACCCCTCCTTGGCAGTTGCCCTTCTTCTCATCAGAACAGGGGTCCCCAACCCCCAAACCGCAGACCAGTACTGGTCCATGGCCTGTTAGGAACCAGGCCGCACAGCAGGAGGTGAGCGGAGGGGGAGAGAGCGAAGCTTCATCCGTATTCGCAGCCGCTCCCCAGCGCCAGCATCACCGCCTCAGCTCCGCCTCAGATCCTCAGGTGTTAGATTCTCATCGGAGCACCGGGCCCTGGTGCCACGCAGGTCGGGGACCGCTGCGTTAGGGTGAAAGCAGCCTCCACACACCCTCCCCGTGGGGCTGAGCTCTAGCCTTGGGGGTCCGGGAACAGCCACATGGCTGAGCCCCTCAAAGCCACCCACCCCGCAGGCGGTGGCATCTGCAGACCAAGCTCATCTATCGTGTCTAGGCTTCCCTTCTGTGGAGGGCTTTGTGTGTGTCGTCTCACTGAGGCCCCACAGCAACCCCGTGAGTCAGGCACCGTTATTAACCCGGTTAATCACAGGTGAGGAAACAGGCCCAGAGAAGGGGAGAGACTGGCTGAAGGTCACACAGCCAGCACACAGTGGCGCCAGGATCCAAACCCAGACAGTCAGGGGCCACGGCCCGCAGCTGGAGCCGCTGTGCCTAAGCCCAGCCCATCCTGGTCACCCGCTCTGCACAGGTTCCCGCTCCTCCAGGTCCCCGGCCTGGGGGTGCTCAGCACCCACAACAGACCTCCCAGGGAGGGGCACCTCGCAGCTCTCAGGTCCCCCGGCTGGAGCCGCCCTCACTTACCTTTCTCTCTCAGGTATGTCACTGTGAACCTCAGCACAGGGGGGATGAGTTCACCTCGATTTTTGTCTTTGAGGCTGAGGGGAGGGAAGAGAAAGCAAACGTTCTCACCTGGGCGTGATGGGTGACCGCGACGACCTCAGAACTCCGGCCCTCTCCCCACTTCCGTGAGAACACAGGGCTGAGGAGCCCTGCAGGGGGAGAGGGCTACAGCCTCGGACCTCAGGAAGCAGGTGGTCTGGCGGCCCAAAGAGAGTCAGAAATAACAGAAACGATAAAGCAGCCCCCGAGGGCTCCGGCAGAGACGCACACGGTGCAGGGGAGAGCTGGGGCTGGGGGAGGCTTCGCGTAGGGCAACTGAGCTGGGCTTGGAGGGGTGAGTAGGAGCCTCAGAGGACAAGAGAGAAGGGCATTCCAGACAGAGGGAAACACACACAGGGGAAGGCCCAGGGCGTGAGAGGGTTTGGTCATGAAGGCAGAACCAGTGGACCAGGCCTGGATGCTGATCACTCTAGAAACGTGCTTGATGAGGACCCAGTACGTTGCCTCAGATGGGCTGTTAACACTCAGCCTCCTACTGTGATAGATTCGCAGAAGGAAACTTTGAATACGTACAAATATAAAAGAGAGGCCCACTCAGACACACACACACACACACACACACACACACACACACACACACACTCACACGCACGCACACACACTCCCCACCCCAGCTGGCAGAATCGGGATCTGAAGCCAGAGCCACCTACTGTGCCACCTGGGCTTCCGCCTCACGTTTTTCTCTTCCTTCATCTGCTGAATTTTTTCTTTTCTTTTTTTTTTTTTTTGCCCTTGAAGTAGCATCTTTGAGACTGTGCTGTATCGAGGGAAAAGGACTCGTAAGTCAGACATACCTGGCTGGAGTCCCACTTTGCCACGTTTTTGCAGAGAAGAACGTGTATTTTGCTATTCTTGGGCCGGGTGTTCTGTGAACATCAGTTAGGTTAACTTGGTGGACTGTGTCGTTTGTGAGCTCTGGGCTGCTTATCTTCTGTCTGTTCCATCAGTTATTATCAGCAGGGGACTGAAGTCTCCTATTAGAATTGTGCGTCTGTTTCTTCCTTCAGTCCTACCAGGTTTTGGTGCATGTATTTTAAAGCCGTTACCAGTGCATGAATTCGTAGGATTACTATGTCTTCTTTACTGCGATAAAATGTCTCTCCCTATCCCTGGTCTTACTGCTGCTTCTGAAGATGCTTTCGAAGCCACTGCCACTTCCGCTTTGTCGGCGGCCGCATCGTACATCTTTTGCATCCTTTTATTTTTACTCTGTAGCCTCGTGTATATTTTTATATTTTAAACGTCAGCGAGATCTCTCTTTTTTTAATCGAATCCGACCATCTCTGTCTTTTAATTGAAATGTTTATGCCGTTTATATTTAATGAAATGATCCCTATGGTTGGGTTTAAACCTACCATCTTGCTAAGTGCTCTTTTTTTCTCTCTTCTCTTTTCTTGACTTTGTTTTGTGGATTAACCGAGTATATTTTAGGATTCCATTTTATCCCCATTAATAGATGAGGCATATCTCTTTATTTGCCTATTTTTTACAATGCATATATTTAACACAGTACGGTCTACTTCCAAATAATATCGTATTACTTTACTTATCGTGGCAGCACCTTATGAGACAACTTCCACCCTCCAGCCACAGATTGCATTACCCATTGCACAGTCCTCCGACGTGTTATAAACTGACACTATTTTGTTATTGTTTTTGTTTAAACAGCCACTTTACTATCAAAAGCAGTCTCAAAGTCAGAAAAATAATTCGTTTTCTATTGATTCATATAGTGACCACGTCCGGCATTCTTCGTTCCTTTGCGAGGATCCAGATTTCCACGTGGCATCATTTTTCTTCTGTCTGATGAATTTCTCTTGACATTGCTCATAGCGTAGGTCTGCTGGAAATAAATCCTCTCAGCCTTCGTTTATCTGAAAAAGTGTTGACTCTGCATTCATTTTTGAAAGATTTTTGTCAGGTATACGGTCTTAGGTTGACAATTTTTTTTCCTTGATAAGCAAGATGTGAACTTAAACGACTCGAGATAGTGCTCGGTCGTCGACTGGTTTGCATCTTTCCAGCGAGACACCTGATGCCCCTTTTCTCTTTGCCCCGCTGCACGTTGTGTCCCTTTTTTCTGTTTAACTTTTCTCTTTGTCACCGGTTTTGAGCCATTTGATCATGATGTTCCTTGGTGTAGTTTTCGTCACATTTCTCATGCTTGTGGTTCATTGAGTTCCTTGGATTTGTGGGTTTCCAGTTATTACCAAAACTGGAAACATTTTTGCCATCAATTCTCTAAATATTTGTTTGCATTCTCCTTTCTGGGACTCCAATTATACTTATACTAGACTATAATATGAAGATTATGTCATAGATTAGTCTTTTTTTCCCCTTATGCTTCATTTGGGATCATTTCCCGGCTGCGTCTTTAAGTCCTTTACTTCTGCAATGCCTAATCTGCTAATCCCGCCCACTGTGTTTTTCATATTAGTAATTACATCTTTCACCTCTAGAAGTTCCACTTAGTTTCTTTTCGAAGTCACTTTTCATCATGTTTGTGTTTACTACCACCTTCTTGAACATATGGGTCACATTTGTAATAACAATTTCAATGTTTTGTCTGCAAATTCCATCATCACTGTCATTTCTCGATGTGATGGTTCATTTTACGTGTCAACTGGACTGGCTCACGGGGCCCCAGCTATGTGGCTAACCAGTATTCTGAGTGTGTTTATGAGGGTGATTCTGGATGAGATTAACGTCTGAATCGGGAGGCCGAGTAAAGCAGACTGCCCTCCCTAATGTGGGTGGGCCCCGCCTAATCTGTTGAAGGCCCTCCCTAATGTGGGTGGGCCCCACCTAATCTGTTGAAGGCATGAATAGAATGAAGAGCCTGGTAAGGGAGAATCAGCTCTTTCTGCCTGTCTTCAAGCTGGGACATCAGTTTTCTCTCGCCTTTGGACCCTAACTCAGACTGGAAGCCACTCCACAGGCTCTCCTGAGTCTCCAGCTCGCCGACTGCTGCCACGGAGACTTCTCAGCTTCCATAACCATGTGAGCCAATTCCTCGTAACAGATCTTCCACTGGTTCTGAGGATTTGGCTAGGTTCTGGCTAGAGAACCTAGCTTAATACACGGGGCCGTTTCCGTCTGCCGAGTTTTCTGCTGGGTGCAGATCAGGTCTCCCTGCTTCTGACTTGCTACTTTTCTCTGGGAATTTCACATCGTTGGTTGTGGGTTTTATTGTATTTCTCTGAATGGAGATGAACCTTGTTCTGTCTTTCATTGAGTCACTTGGCAGTTTCCATAGGAACCTCTTCCCGGAAGTCCCAAGCTGCCCTGTAGGGAGTGTGGCCACCCTGTAATGTCAGGCTAGGAGCCTTGGACCCTCCTGACCAGGCACCAGCTGGACACCACTGAATGACCTCTCCCGACACCACGCAGAATGAACTTGACTGGCCGATCTTCACCTAAATACCAGGCCCAAACACATCAGGACATGTAACGAAATGGCTGTTGTTTGAAGCAGCTGGGGGGATTTGCAACTCAGCACTAGGGAACAGGAAAACGTGGTCAGAGTGGACAGACCAAGTGGACAGAGCCGGGACTCAGACCCTTGAATTTGAGCCTAGCATGTGTGCTCTTGTATATTACCTATTTAATTTCCATGGTAATTTTATTAGCCCAAAGTAGAGATCAGAGATGGACGCTGGGAAAGGCTAGGTGACCAGCTCCAGGTCCCACAGCTGAGAGGTGGCAGAGCTGGAGGCGAGGCTGGCTTTGAATCGAATCTGCATTCTTTCTGCAGAGACCCATCGGGTGGGCATTGCAGCAAGTCTGCTTTTCATGTTATTCCAAGAGGACTCAAACATCTGGTCACCTGAACAACAATTCACACTTCATCAGCAGCGACGATAGGACTTTGCACGTCCCACTCTCGATGCAAAATTGGGTTTCTTGGTGGTTCCTCTTCTGCTGAAGCCGTGCGGCTGGGACGCCAAACAACGATCCGGTGGCGAAGGGGCCCTGCGGGCTGTCACCACCTCCGTGGGGCTGTGCTGCCCCAGGAAGGGGGGCCGGACGCTCCCCGCCCTTCCTGGACTTGGCTTCCCGTGGACCCCTCGACGAAAGAGGAGGCGGCCTGGGTCTCAAGCAGTGTCCTGGCGGTCTCCTCTCTGTGTCCCTGGGGAAGGAATGTGATGGACAGGTCATCTTCTCCCAGGATGCTCCAAAGCTGTGGGCTCTTTTCCTCCTCCGTTTCCTGTGGGAGCCAGACGGACCCATGCAAGTCCCGGGCCTGCCCTGAGCTGCGTGACCCTCGGCCTGTCTCTGAGCCTCCCTGGCCTCGGTTTCCCCATCTAGAAAGCAGGCCAGCTGACGACCCCCTTGCAAGGAGCTGCAAATATTCAACGGCAAAGGATGCAAAAGGCTTTGTTAAGCTCTAAGTCAAAGGCGCCGACAGTTACAATCATTGCAATGCCGAGAGACTTCTGGGCCAAACACAGGCGGCCCATTTCACAGAGGGAGAAATGGGCCCGGCGGGTTGCGGTGACTTGTCCAGTGTCACACAGCAAGGGAGCACAGGGCCGTTGATTCCAAAGCCTGGGCAGGTTACTGTCCCCAGGAGGGGGCCTGACTGAGACCTACTGAACAGGCTGGACCCTGATGATGACCTGTGACCACTGTGGCTGTTAAAAGACCCCTGTGCCTACAGCTTAGGTGACATTTTGTGTTTGAAAAGCAGACTTCCGGAACAGGAAGGGGCCTGAGAGATCATGAGAAACCGAAAGCCCAGAAGGGGAGGGTTTGCCCCAAGGTCGCAGGGCTCCCGGCCAGGCATGCCCCGCCCTGCCATGCACTCAGGAAGCACTGAGATCCGGCCTGTGCCTCTCGCAGCAAACCACTGAGCAGGGGCCCTGGCATCAAATTACTGCTCTCAGCGGAGCAGGAACCACACTTCGGATTTCTCCTCCCCTCCCTTCCCCTACTTGCCGGCTCGGAGAGGGGCTTGCTCAAGGCTGACAGAGTC